TCGTTTATCTTGTGATATATTTTTTCCTTCGTATATCAATTTGTACTGATAGTTTAGACTGACCAATACTATATTAGTAATCATACATTTCTTTATGAATTGTGGCATTCTTTAAAAAACTTCTTTTAAAAAATGTATATTACTTTATATTTGTATTAAAAAAAATGAAAAATAGAGCACTATAATATATGCGCATACGTAACAATTTATATGAATTTTTAATAAAATTTTATAGTAACTGCACGATTTGATTTTTTGACAGCACATTATATGTATATTATAATATATAATGCACTTGCCAAATCAATCTTTAAGTTCACTGTAATGAAATTACTAACATATAAGTTTTAATACTAATGCACAGTCAGCATAAGTTTGAAAATTATTGCGATAGATCGAGAAAAAACATAATCGTATAATACAAGTTACTTTTTATTGAGAAACATATTTCTAAAATCCTGATTACTCATCGACTGCGCGTTGCTATCCGGAGTTACATTACCATTACTGTTTATTTTTTTAACGTTACGGGGAACCATAGACAGTAAAGTCTTGGGTACGCCGAATGCTGTACGGCTTATTGATGTTCCGCCGAGTGATTTTATTTGTCCCGCGTTTTCTTCTGTTTGAATTGTTTTACGATCGGGTGGTTGACTTATCGCAACGCTGATCACTTTGTCCTGAATCTTCAGACCGTCCGTACTCAAAAGGGCTTTTGTAGCGGTTGCTTCGTCATGATATTCAACATAAGCTAAGCCTTTTGAGTGCCCATTACGGTAAGTAACTAGGCGAACTTCCTTCAGATCTCCGTGAACTTTAAATATCTCCTCCAATTCCTCTTTTGTCGTTGTAAGCGGAAGTCCTTAAACAATAAACAATATTGAATTTATAGTGATATTAAATTGGAAAATATTCGAGTGAAGAACATACTTAATTAAACGATAACTGGTAGAGAAAATAGTTTTTCCAAATTATTGCATTTAATTTTCATAAACATGTTATACCTTTAACAAAAAGTTTGTTCTTTTCAAGTGTACAGCTGTATTTGAATGCAGAATCTCTAGTACTCTTGTTGGGATCACATCTTGAAATGAACATAGGACGTCCTTTTATAGGCGTCCTATCTAATTTCAATGCTTCTTCCACGGCTTCCTATAAAATAGTGAGTATATCATATTTTGACTTAAACATTTGAAATTTTTTTAAAACGCAACACGAAATTAAAGACTGTAGTGACAATATAAATTTTTCAAACAATTATTACTTTTCAAAGTAATAATGCTTGCATTTCGATGTATTTTTCTTTTGTTTATATTTTCTTATTTTTTAACAATAAGATATGTACATACCACATTGCTTAATTGTACATAGCAGTAGCCTTTACTACGTCCTTTGTAATCTTTGATCATTTTGAATAATGTTATCGGTCCAACGGGTTTTAGAACATCTCTTACTTCATCTTCGGTAGCTGTATAATCTAAATTACTGACAAAAATTGTGATATTATCATCTATTTCGTGTTGACTATCTTTATCATCTGTGTCTTTATCTTCGGTCGTTTTATAACCAGGCGGTGGTACGATTTTTGATTTCGAGCTTTCTTGACTACTTATTGTTTTATCGTCAATATTCAAGATATTTTTTCGTAATATCGATTCATTTTTTACATTAGTTTTCATGATTTTTGACGGGGAATTTCCTAAATTTTTCCACTTGCCATCATCTATTTTTCTTTTATTCGTTTTCTTATTTTGTGTAGATAATTCACTCTGAGAAGGACCTTGTTCCGCTTGTTGCGCTTTTTGCCTTTCCTCCATAACTTTATCAAGTTTCTCTTTTGTTTTCGTTTCACAAAACTCCATTTGCTCTAAAGTTCCTTTATCACGCTCAAAATCTATCCATGAATTCGCTATACTTTCTGGCCAATCTTGTGTGGAATTCAAAGCTTTTTGATATAATTTCCTTAGATGCTTCGTATCTCCGTAACATCTATAATTAGAAAATTACTTTGAATAGAACAAAGTTACAGAATACCTGATTAATGAATAGAAAACGCATCATTATTTAAATATACATAATTACTTTTCTAGAACTATATATTCCAACCAATAAGAAGCTGTCACGGAATGCCCCTGCGAAAGAATATCATTCCACAAGTTTCTCGTCTCTTCCATGTTATCTGCATGTATCGCTTCAAATCTTGCCCAATATTGCAGGATAACACAATTGGGATCGCCATCTAGGCCAAAATATTTTGCCAGTTGTTCGCATGCTTTGTTGAAAGTTTTACGAATAACATCTATATGTTTCTCCCTCTCTTCGTCAGAATGCTGCTCAAGTCTACGTCGCAGGCATTCGAGATACGTAAGCCATAAGTTTCGATAATCTTCCGCCGTTGAAAAACCGGCGGATAAGGCATTTTCTAATAACGTTTGTATTTCCGAAATATGTTTTTTCCATTCCTCGTACGATCTCATCCATTTCTGCCAAATTGTTGAGCACCATGGAATATTCCTCGTCGCTCTTTGATAAATTGGATCCAATATACACTCAATCCTTGATTTATTTTCTAAATAAGTGATATAATCTAACCAAATTGAGGTCTCCAAACTTAAATCGGTTATTGCTCTTTCATATAAAACTGTAACAATATCTGGGTTCTCATGTTTCATGTATAATATATATTTTTTATAAGCATCAAGCAGTTCATCTGGTCCTTGTGCAGAAACAAGCTTTTCTTCATAAGAAAGATATATCTTCATTTTTTCCAAATTACGTTTATAACATTCTGAGATGAGCTTATCGTCGATTTCTGTACCATATTTTTCGCGCCACGAACAATAGTTTTCATATATATTTGTTATGTCAAAAAGAGGAATATTTAATTCACGTTTGTATAAATTACCAATACGTTCCAATTGAGCTTTCTTTTTATTGTTACTATCAACCTAAGTACATAAATATATAAATTAAAGAATAATTATTGAAGGAAAAAAGATAAGATGCAATACCTGATAAAAAAACTTGTTTCTATGTACATCTATTCTTACATATACCTCTTACCAATGGCATCAAGGAAGCAAGTAACATACTCTCATATTCCTGATATGCCTCCCATATTATTGCTCCCTTTGTAATATGCAATCCAACAGCATCCAATGCACGTTCAAAGAGTCGACGAACATTCTCGATCCCCTTCTCATCTGTGTCCATACACTCAATGTTGAAACGCAGGTACAGTATCCACACCTCCACAGCTAAAAGTATATACCACATATGGTTTTCTAAGACTATACAAATAACGAGGCAATAATCCAATCTTCTTGAACGTACAACACGAAGAGAGACTTACACATGTAATCTTTGATGGCTCGTTCGCACAGTTTGACTACATCGGCCTTCTGCTCCTCGGTGGTCGCCAATTTGATCTCCTCGGATATCCATCCGTACCAGAGCTCAGGGCTCAGCGGATATATCTTACTCATATTGTTCTGGGCGGTTCGCAGGCGGTCCAGCTCGCCCATCGCGCGTAGTTTCTTGATCAAAGCCACATGGTTGGAATACTCATACGGATTCGTTGACAAGGATGCTTCCAGAGACTTTACTTCCGCCTCGGCGTTCTCGTCGTCGTCATCGCTGTCATCATCGTCGCTCTCGGATTCATCTTTTGCCGCTTCCTCAACGGCATTTCCATCCGTGTCGCTTGTCACCATTTCTTCTTCATTTGATGGTCCTCCTACCGGAGGAACTTCTTCATTCTTAAAATCCATCTCCTCGTCCATTCTCCTTACGATTCTAGCACACCGACGCTTTTGCGACAAATCGTTTCGATTTAAATCTCACCGATTCGCGGCCACAAATCCAAACGCAACGTAAAGGTTATATTTTCATGTCCGTTTCTCTCTCTCTCTC